GCTGCGGCTCTACTTGTGCGGTCGGTTGTACTGGAGGGGCGGCGGCTGGAGCTGTATAGGCAGGCGTATATGGTGGATAACCAACCGGGGAAGTGTAGCACATCGGTTGGCCTGGCCAATACCCGTACGGTGGAGGTGGGACCGGGTACGGATACTGGACGGGATACATCATCGGCTGCTGCTGGTATGGCAGACCGGGTGGTGGGTATCCCGGTTGTATGTAATTCACCGGCTGCTGGGCGGCCGGGTATGTATTCGACGGATGTGGTGGTGAGAGATTGAGGTTGAGGTCCATTGTCTGACCCTGCTGTTGGGTAGCATAGTGGTCGGAGGAGCTCGCCGCATCCGCCTGGTCGTCGGCGAAGTTGTTGTGTGCCCACGGATACATGTCGATATGGTGATCGGGTGCTCGTCATGACGTTGGTTTCTTGCACGGGTCCCCACAGACGGCGCCAAAATGATACTGCTAATTATGGGTAAGCAATATAGAATAACACGAGACCAATTAAAGCAAGTAAAATCTTTATTGATCACGGTAAAGGCCCTAAGTACAATCTACTTGGTTGCTCTGAGTACCGACTGAGTGCGGTCGGGATTCTCTAATAACAACCTATCGATCGTCCCAAAAGTCCCTTACACTGTAGCTACTGTGGGTATTTATAGCCGCTATGCCGGGGACAGGATTCCAGCCGTTCGGCATGTCCTCCACGTAGCCACCACGTGTCATCCTCCCGGGTGCCCTGCCTGTCGATGTAAAGAGCCGCCACGTGTCCTTCGTCAGCTCTTTCGCCAAAGGGCTACCGCTCGGTGGTCGACACCGTTGCTCGGGCAACTCTGGTCGGTCTACGACCGGGTTCTTCTCGTGGAGCCCGACCTGTTACCTGCAAAGACAAGGAGAAAGAGACAAAGGCTCCTCGGTCGTGGTGAAGCTATGTCGGTCGGGATATTCCCTACCAAGAACTTTATGTTCATAATTTTTGAACTTCATATTCACAATTATTGAAATCTATATTCACAATTACAGAACTCTGTTCATAATTATAGAACTCTAATTGGATAATAATTCACATTGTAAGGTGGATTCAGTCCATGACATAACTATTGTTGAATATGTGAATTCAACTTAATTAATTACACAACTTGTGATTCCAAAAAAGTTAGTTACACAACTTGTCGCAGTTGACAAAGAATGACACAAAATTAAGCAATTGTTTTAATTCTAGACATTCGTCCAAAATTTATGTATCTGCTGTTGTCCTATTATATATTTGCAGTTAACAATTATGTGTTTATAAATAAATTAATTGTACATAACATATTAATTACAAACACATAATATGATAATTACATACATAATATGTTAAATGCAAACACATAATATTTTTATTAGTTAACATATTATGTGTCTGCAGTTAACATATTATGTGTTTGTAGGTAAAGTGTTATGTAGCGTTTCAATTTATTTACAAACGCATAAACTGTAATGATATATAAAAAATATGTCAAATGCAAACACATAATCTGAAAATTATTTTGGATTAAAATTCACAATGTAAGCTAGGCCTTGATCCATGTATAATTTGCCCAAAATTAAATTTTTTTTGAAAGGACCCAAACTTAATTATTCATGCCATTTTTCTTTCTCTCTTTAATGAAATTAAAATTCCATAATGGCTGCCGGCTGCCTAACTTGGTTTCATTCTTTCTTCAACCCATTTGACGGTGTTGTTGTTGTTGTTGTTGTTTTTTTTTTTTTTTTTTTTTTTTTTTTTTTTTTTTTTTTTTTTTTGAGATAATATATATAAAAAAATGCCCTCTAAAGATCCTCATCTAGTGGAGGCTATAGCCATGAAGGAAGCTCTCTTGGATTCTCGAACAAGGTTGTTCTAATATTGTGTTGAGATCGGACTGTCAAATGATTTGCAGATTCCTCAATAATGATTTACCAGACTATTCTTATGCAGGTTGTATCTTCAATTAGTGTCGGGTCTTAAAACGACACTTTGAATCAGTGTCCATTCAGTATGAGAATCGATCAGTGAATAAGCTTGCTCATTGTTAGCCGGAGTTGCTTGTTCTCAACCTGGTCATCTTTCTTATTTTTCTACTATTCCAGCTTGTATTGAACATCTTATTGCTTGATTTTAATGAAGTTATTTTTCTTTTAAAAAAAAAAAAATCCCCTGACCTCTTGAGTATATATAATTTTTACTTTAGTCATCGACTATCAATTCATCTAAAATATTCTTTAACTATAAAAGGAATTTACTCATTTTAGTACATCAGATGATAAAATTGAGTAAATCTTTTTTTTTTTTTTTGAATTTACCGACCTATTCAAGAGGGAGCAATTATGATGAAGACCACACTCAATGTAGGCTTGGCTCTACACTAGTATAAGTAGGAAACCATGATTTTTTTTTGTGGTGTAAAAATCGAGGTGGTCCGGGTTTTTCTCTGTCCGAGGCTATCTCGGAATTCTCTATCACAAAGAGAGTTCATTTGTCAATTGAGCTACCCCATTGGGTTGCCAAGGGCATGCACTAATTCTTGTAATCAACACTCTAAGCAATACTAACTATGATTACTTTCCAAATATTATCCGATGACATATTTACCATCAGTGTGCATTAGAAAAACCATTCTCATGTATAATAGTCAATGAATCACACGAAAGAGATGAACCGCACTAGGAAGATCTTGTTAATTAGATGGGCGACTGAGAGGATGTTGGCAAAAATTGAACTTGTAATCATTAGGTATATATGGAGTCATGCATTCATGCTCTACCCATTCAACTACCCTTTTAGAACAAATACAAAAATTTCTATTAATATTTTTTTAATGAATTAATATTTGATGACCAAATTAGGAATTATAACATGGTCAAATGATCATTTTAAGTATTGATTTTTTTTTTTGGGGGGTGGGGCGGTGAAACAACTTTCATTATCAAGTGATAAATTTATTAGTATTAATTCGTGGTACAAAAAGTCAATAATATTCCCACTTAACATATGTGATGCATTTATATATATTAATTTTACTATAAACATAGGATTTAATTATATGTCGATTTAACCATATATGTCGGTCCATGCAGAACAAACTCAATTACTAATGGTGCAAAATTTCTTCCTTTGAATTAATTAGGAGAAACCCACTAACAGTTTCGTTATATCGTGAATCGAATTCATCATGTACATTATAGACCTTAGCCCGGATATTATATTTGTTGTTAACATATTATGTAACTCATTTTATTTCCTTATATTCACATATCATGAATTTTGAACAATGTACTCAAATGTAACGTGGACGCTTCTGTTTTGAGTAATGGTGCTGGCTTTGGCGCTGTGATGCGTGACCATGAGGGTGCATTTGTTGCAGCTAAATGTGGACAATTAGTAGGTGAGGAGGATCCGTTTATCTGGGAGTCAAGGAGGCTTTGGTTTGGATTAAGACGCAAGGTTACAGCAATGTTAATTTAGAATCAGACTGTTTAAATTTTTGTACTGCTTTCAATTCGAGTTTTCTGATTTTTCTTATGCTGGGTTGTTTGTGAAGCAATGTAAGTCGATTGCTAGCGATATTGGGAATGTTACTGTATCCCATATTAGGAGGTCAGCGAATCGTGTGGCTCATGAGCTTGCTCAGGCGACCGTTTCTAAGTCTGTCTCAGTAGTGTGGACTGGTGTTCCACCTGATTGTATTACGCACTTATTCTGATTAGTAATGGAATCTTCGTTTTTGCGTTAAAAAAAAAAAAAAATCGTGCAAAATTTCTTCCTTTGAATTAATTAGGAGAAACCCACTAATAGTTTCGTTATATCGTGAATCGAATTCATCATGTACATTATAGACCTTAGCCCGGAAATTATATTTGTTGTTAACATATTATGTAATTCATTTTATTTCCTTATATTCACATATCATGAATTTTGAACAATAATGTTAAATTATGTACATAATATATTAACTGCATATACATAATTTGTATCATAATTTATAATGTGTATGATAAACTGATACACAATATAACTTGAATTAGCTATATAGGTATGAGTTAGGCCTATAAACGAGCCGAGTTGAACACAAACTCAATCAAACCTTAAAATTGAAATTCGAACTCAGCTCGATTGACACTAATGTTTGAGCTCTAGCTTGTTTGAGATAAACTAGATTGGCTCGTCAATCTGTACGCAGATTTCAAGCCTTCGTCGTCGTCAGCCTTGAGGCTTGGCTACATTATATTGTCTTTTGCTAGATTCGCCGTTGACCGTCGGATTCGCAATGAGTCATCGATTGTCTCTCGCAAGCAACTTCACTCATTGCACACCTAGTGTGGATTATTTCTCATTTTAATTAATTTTCGGAACAAGTATCAAATATGTCACTGAGCTTATTTTTTTTTGTGCAATTGAGTTATTGAATTTAAAAAGTGCGCAATTTTACCATCAAACAAGCAGAATATGTGTAATTGAGACATTTATATGATTTCTTTTAATGTAATTTAAATTAAAAATATTTCGATCTTTCATCTCAACTAATATGATTTAGGAAAAAACAAATCTTAGTATATACCATGTTATCCTATCCATCCATGCAATTAATTTGATCGAATTTTACTGGGAAAAAAAATTATCACAATTGAACATATTTTACTTGGCAATAACGCTTCCATTGAGACAACTTACAACCTCCCATATAGGAGTCCAACTCGGGTACCATATGTGCACAAGGTGCTTAACATTTTACTTGCTGATTTAATTGCATATTTTTTAAGTTTAATATATATATAATCTAATTACATAAAAACTAGGAGTATAATTTTAGTGAACTATTTTACACTTTTTTCTTAAATTTAAAGAAAATTAATTTCTCATGGCTTCCTCAGCTAACGTCAACATCTATAAAAACCCATGCATGCATTCATTCACCAGTCACCACTACAACTCATTCCAAACATGGCGCACCAAAAAAGTGTGCCATTCCCCGCGTTTACTGCCAATTCTGCTGATCCTAATGGCGTCTGTCACCGGCAGCATCGTGGTGGCAGAAGCTCGTAGTCTCTTAAACCTCAACCCTCGGAACCCACCCCCTCCTCCGCCACCTCCGCCACCCCCGCCTCCCCCAGTAGTGATTCTTCCGCCGCTGCCATCAGTACTGCCTCCGGTGAACATCCCGCCGCTGCCATCAGTACTGCCTCCGGTGAACATCCCGCCGCTGCCATCAGTGACTCCGGTGAGCATTCCGCCGCTGCCATCACTGCCTCCGGTGAACATCCCGCCGCTGCCATCACTGCCTCCGGTGAACATCCCGCCGCTGCCATCAGTGCCTTCAGTGACTCTTCCTCCAGCGAGTCTTCCGCCGCTGCCATCAGTGCCTCCAGTGCGTCTTCCATTAGTGCCTCCAGTGACTCTTCCTCTTCCTCTTCCTCTTCCTCTTCCTCCACTGCGTCTTCCAGTACTGCCTCCAGTGCGTCTTCCGCCGCTGCCATCACTGGTGCCTCCGGTGACAATCCCGCTGTTCCCGCGGCTACCATAAACGATGGAGGACCGTACCGCATTTGAGCTAAGCTCCATGGCTTGCCGGCCGCCCTATATCGTCTCAAATACTCACTATATATTATCATCTTCTCCGATCCCTTTGCTTTATATAAGTATCCCTCTCTACTACATATAATATTTTCCTTATTTTACTTTCTATGCCCCTCTGTAGTCCGTACCGTACGCACGTAATAATATTGGAATAAACGGCGAGCCACTTATATATATACATCTTCATATCTATCATTCTACGATTTTATGCCCGCAAACACTATATGGTTTGCTTCAAGAAACATTAATTAGTTGGAACAAGATTAGCTTTCATTTTTTTTAGAGCAAATTAAAACAAAACTTCATTGAATTAACAAAATCTAATTAAAATAAAGATGGGATGAATATATATAATGGATCCATTGGTCAGTTCTAGAAAAACTAGCTCATGAGTAGAAGTTTAATATCAAATCAAATATCACTAGCTCCAAAATCTTTTGAAAAACTGATATGTAAAATAATTATTGTCCGCCTTTTAAGAAGTCAATGTTTGTTGCATCCCACTCTAAACCGTTTGCACTCCAGACTCCTTTTGGCACCACGTAGTCTTTTTTCATCTTTGGATCGAATGGTTTCACTTAGAACCTTATCAAACACCAGACAACGAAACCCTTTCTTAGGTCGCTTCCTCTGGCCAACTTATGGACTGACAACTCTAATCTAAATAGCTTTTAGTCCAAATTCTTCTTAATTCTTTTTGAACCAGTCCAGTAGCCTTCTTCCAAATAATTCTTTCTCATTATGCACCGGCCTCAAAATGGGAGGTAGTAACAAATTATCATGGTCGTCATACACGATATGATGCTAGAACCGGGTCAATGACAATGGCTGGGAAAATAAATCATATGTTTTCCTAACAGCTCAAACAAGAATGGCAATGGCTGGGAAAATATTTGTGTTCCTTGATAAAGAAGCTTGAAAGGTATTCAAGAAAATCCAGCTGGCTTCAAAGCTACCTGGACTATTTGTCTATTTCAGATGAGTGTTGTTGAGAAGTTGAACCAACATATTGTTCTTCCTACCAACTAATCTCAATGTTTCTTCCTGCTCTCCTTTCTATATAAGCTTGCCCAAATACAACCCCAGACCATAACTCTCTAATCCAAGCTAGAAATAGAAACAAAACATCTTCACCAAGAATGGCTCATCATCTCAACCCATCCTTTCTCCTGCTTTTCTTGATCACTCTGTCACCGGCTTTCGTACAAATCGAGGCCAGAAACCTTATGGAGATCACATTGCCTGAAATCCCAACATTGCCAAAGCCTGAGCTGCCAGAAATTCCAAAACCAGAGCTACCAACATTCCCAAAGCCTGAAATCCCAGAAATCCCAAAACCAGAGCTACCAACGTTCCCCAAGCCTGAAATCCCAGAAATCCCAAAACCAGAGCTTCCAACATTACCAAAGCTTGAAGTCCCAGAAATCCCAAAACCAGAGTTTCCAACATTCCCAAAGCTTGAAGTCCCAGAAATACCAAAACCAGAGTTTCCAACATTCCCAAAGCCTGAATTCCCAGAAATTCCAAAACCAGAGCTGCTTAAGAAGCCATGATTTCTTGAAGGCTTGCTTGAGCGTGCGCACACACATATTCTCCAGGATTCTCAGATTATTTACACTTATGATTGATACATTCACTATATATTCCGGTCTTGAACGAATGGATGCACGATGTTCTCTACGTGCAGTGTGTTAGGACTCAGATCATTCATCATCTGTACTACTCATCTTTGAATTTCGTACTTAAGTGTGTTTCATTTACATGTTTTCTTGCTTTTAAATTCAACATATATGCAATGACTATTGTTTGCTTGAAGAAACATTAGCAGCAAGGTAAAGAAAACGAGGCATTCATTTCTGGAAGTGCCAATATACATCAAAAGCGGTGAATAGATTTGGGTAAATAAGAAAAGATTAATTGAAATTGCAAATAAGAATGATAAATGAGTTTCATGCAATCAATAGAGTTTGGGTGTAGGCCCAGAGACCCACAAACTAAGCGAGTTATATGAGTTGACCGGCCTAGAATTTACAGTTATACAATTGGTCATGGTACCAAAACGATGTAAATTTTTTTTTTTTTTTTTAATGAAAACCAGGTTAATGGTTGCATTTTGAACCGTACCCAATACACAGCCATGACCCTCTGGAATGAGGACGGCGGCCATGGCCGTGTTCCTTAGACGACGTGACTGTCCTCTCCGGACAGCCAAGAACAGTTTTTTTTTTTTTATTTTTTATATAATATTTGTACTTTTAGTAAATAAAAATAAATTTATTAAAAAAATTAAAATATAAAAGACGCGTGTCAACACATAAATTTAACCTGATAAACAAGTCATTTTGGACTTAATTGAACAATTTTACCGGTTTAGGGGAGTTAGTGAAGCAAGGCTCAATATGAATTAGGCCTTGGCCCATAACCATAAACTGGTCGAGACTGGTTGTCTCACTTGTCTCCGTTGTCTGGGCAAATTATGTTGTGGAACCGTATCCATCTTGCAAGGTGGACATGGTTCCAAAACGGCGTCGTTTTGGTGGAAAATTACGTCGTGTCGTCATGTTAATTTAAAAATAATAATTCTTTCTTTCGTCGTTAACGACATTTGTCTTCAGAAAATTTATGTTCATAATTACTGAACTCTATGTTTATAATTATAGAACTGATACTGCTAATTATGGGTAAGCAATATAGAATAACACGAGACCAATTAAAGCAAGTAAAATCTTTATTGATCACGGTAAAGGCCCTAAGTACAATCTACTTGGTTGCTCTGAGTACCGACTGAGTGCGGTCGGGATTCTCTAATAACAACCTATCGATCGTCCCAAAAGTCCCTTACACTGTAGCTACTGTGGGTATTTATAGCCGCTATGCCGGGGACAGGATTCCAGCCGTTCGGCATGTCCTCCACGTAGCCACCACGTGTCATCCTCCCGGGTGCCCTGCCTGTCGATGTAAAGAGCCGCCACGTGTCCTTCGTCAGCTCTTTCGCCAAAGGGCTACCGCTCGGTGGTCGACACCGTTGCTCGGGCAACTCTGGTCGGTCTACGACCGGGTTCTTCTCGTGGAGCCCGACCTGTTACCTGCAAAGACAAGGAGAAAGAGACAAAGGCTCCTCGGTCGTGGTGAAGCTATGTCGGTCGGGATATTCCCTACCAAGAGCCCCCCAGCCCGGGCCTTTTTGATCAGTCGGGAAAAAACGGGATGGGATGAAGAAGCCCAACCGTCAGCCACCAAGCCGACCTGCCAGCTGTCATTCCCTCCTACGCCACGTGTCGGCCTCTGCCGGCCTCGGCGATCCCATCCGTCGCCTCGGATTCAGCGCGGGTCGTGTCAGGCAAGTTGGCCCATTTCCCGCCTAAATGCCCTCCTATAAATAGGCCCTTGAGGCCCTCATTTGAACTTTCCTCACTCTTTTGCTTCAGTCGGTATCCTCTAAGAATCCCGAGCAGAGCATCTCAGCAAGGCGATCAAGCAAAGCGAAACTTCAGATCCTCTTCCAAGTTTCTTCACTCGGTAAGCTCCTAGTTCTTTACTCTTTCTCTATTCTTCACTTGGCGTAGAAGTAGGATAGCACTAACTTCGAGCTAACTCCCCGAACCCTATACTAACTCCCGACCGACCTTTAGGTAGAATTATGTCGGACTCGGATAGTCAAAACGCCTCGATCGCGGACTATGACGAGGAGGTCGAGTACATCAGCGACGAGGAAGTGGACATTATGTCCTGCACTCCTGAAGCCAGCCCCCGAGCAACGCCAGCCCCTGAGCGAGCCGTCAAGCATAACAACGCATCAAGCTCCTCTGGGACATCGAGCTCTAGCTCCAGCGGATCGGGGAGCTCCAGCGAAGAAGAGGAAGAGAGAACCACGTCAAGCGGGCGGGGTTCTCCGACCGAGGGCGTTAGGGAAACGCCTACCCGGGTGGTTGGGGACTACCCGGAAGCTGCTCCTCGAGGGGGGGATCGGGAAAATACCCCCGAGCAGACCGAAGAAGACCCGGCCGGGCCGGCCACACCAGCCGTCGAGCTCGAATTCTTGAACAGCGAGAGTGTCGAGCAAGAAATGAGCCTGCTGACCAAAGGCGAAGCGGCTCGGATTGCTGAAGTACTCCGGGGTCGGGTTGAATTCGACACGAGCCGGCAGCTGGGGAACGTGATTGACAGGCATCGGGGCAAGTGGATCGGGATGCATTACGACTCCCTAATGGCCCCGATTGCCATTCCCTTCCCGGCCCTCTTGACGGCCTTTTTAGCGTACTACCGGGTCGTTCCGGCTCAAATCTGCCCGAACGCACATCGGATCCTCGCCTGCTTCCCGCAGATATGCACTCGGCACGAGGCCGAGTGCACGATGGAGTTGTTCAACTTCATCTACCAGATCAAGGTTCTCCCGGGCCGCTACGGGGGTGGGTTCCTGATGCTGCAATCCCGAGCAGATATGTGCTCCATCAAAGGCCTGCCCGGGAACAACAAGGGGTGGAAGAACAGAATTTTCTCCATCAAATACGACCCCTGGATCCTCCCGGTCGATCGCACTTGGAGCAGCCACTTCAGAAAGCAAGTGGTGCCGGCCGCGACTCAGGCGCTCAAGGAGACGGTCACTCGGATCTCGAGTGAAATACACGAGTACTCCATCTTCCGGACAGCCGAGAGTCTCGCAGCCGCCAAGCTCCCGCCCCCCACGTACGAGCTAAAGGAGAAGTACCTTCCCGTACCGATGGGCGTGACGGTCGCCAAGCCGTCGAAACGGAAGAAGAAAGGTTTAGCTCGAGCTGTT